AACTGTCTGTAACTCCAGTTCCAGGGGATCTGACACCTTCACACCAGTGCACATAAAATAAAGTTTATAAAAAAATGAATATATTTTATTTATTGAAGGTGTGCTACTCACTGTTTACTTTAAAATATATAGGTTAATACAGACATTTAAAATATTTTAGTTGATATGAATTTTTAACTGGAATTCTTAGTTTTCATACACCTCATTTTTATTCATCTGTTATATGAATAATGTGGCTAAAATTAGCCTGTTTTTTTTTTTTAAGAGTAGTACTGTTTTATGAGGCTCAACAGATTTCAGTGAGTATATAGGCTGTAATGCCTTGTTTTTCCACTGTGCCTAAGAATGGCAGGGAGAAGGGTTGGTAGAAAGAATACTGAGGCATATTAGATTGTGGTATGTCAGTTAGTACTTGAACAGTGTTAGTTTTAGAATAAAGCAAACTCCAAGGAATGACTTGTGAAGGCCATCCTATTTTGTACATCTCTTTGGGTATGACAGATTGGACTATGATTGTGGTCACTGGAGTACATTCTTATAGGTATTACCATGTTGTAAATGTTACTTGAAAACTTATTGTCAGTCACATCTGTATCACCAAATCTTTTTTTTTCCTTTTTTTTATACTTAATTTTTTCAAATGCTTTCACCTTTATTTCTCAATAAACCCGTGATATAAACATTTCACATGTAACATTGTTCAGTGACTTGTGTGGAATAAAGGATAAAGACATTTAGCCTAGCTACCAACAGATCAGAGAGGGTGACCAGAAGGCCTTCATCCACACCTTCAAGGCCCATTACTCATTTGGAGGGTAGAGACACTGGGTGGCCTCAAAAGATGAAATGAGGCAAAGAAGATCCCTTTCTCTTAGGATCTGATTGGTCGTTGTTAATGGTCAATTGTGGATGGCTCTTTTTCATTTCTTGGATCAGCTTCTGGATACTCGGGTTAGCGTCATCAAATTTCAACCTGAGTGTTTGAAGGGGGCAGACGTTATGTTTCAAGTGTTCACAGAATGTCTTGACTGCATCAGCTCCCAAGTTGTTCTGAGACAGGTCGAGAGTGTTCAGGCTCTTGTTGTTTCTGAGAATCTCAGAAAAGTCTTTGCAGTTGTTTGGAGGCATGGAGCATCCATACAGCCACAGACTTTTCAAGTTACTCTGGGGTTCCTTCAATGCTTCACACAGAAACCTTGTACCTGGGGTTCTGATACAATTCTGCCCCAGATCCAAGTGCTCTAGACTCAATGCCTGGCTGAGCATCTTTGAGAGATGGCGGCAACCTTCGCTGGTGATGTTACAGGACCACAGTACCAGGGTCTGTAGTTTACACTCGGGATAGCTTAAGCTTTCACACAGGACTTTCACTCCATTATCTCCAAGAACGTTCTTGGCCAGATTGAGGTGTGTCAGAGCCTGGCTGACCATCAAAATGGAAGAGATGTCCTTGCAACAGGCTTCAGTGAGGCGACAGTTCTCCAACGACACCCTCTGCAGTGTGCTGTTCGGTTGCTTCCAAGTCTTACACATCAGCCTGGCACCCTTGTCCAAGAGTTCATTGTCGGTGAGGTCCAGACATGTTAGGGATTGTCTGACTTTGATGGCCTGGAAGAAGTCATCCCATTTCTGAATACCGGTAGGATAAGAACACAGACCGAGAAACTTAATGTTGCGTGCTGGATGTTTCATAACTTCACACAGCGAGGGAAGAATGGTGCTCAGGTTGTCACCTTTCAGGGTCAGATGTGAGAGGGTTTCATAACCATTAAAAATGAGGCACAATTTCTTGTATGCATTGGCTGGGGAAATGTTTTTGAGGAGCACTTTCTGGAGATGGTAGGGAGCAGAGGACAGTTTGTCACACAGAATCTCCAGTGAGGATCTGCTGAAGAAGCTCTTGCCAATATTCAGAAAGACCAGTTTCTCATTTGAATTAAACAAGTCACAAAAGTCTGTCCAGAAAGCTAGCAGGTGTTGGTTGTCTTGAGACCTTTGATACTGAGCTGTCGACTCCAAAACAGCATCATTTTCTGGGAAGATCCCCTTTGCCACTTGTAGGGACACTGTTTGCAGATTTTGAGAATTCTTGAGGCAAAATGAAGCACTTATGAGGTCCGTGCTGGTTTTCAAATCTAAGGAGATTTCCTCAAAGAGGGCCATGACTTCCTTCACAAGCTCCTTATCTTGAGATTCATAGAGACAAGACAAAATCTGTTGTCGATCTATCAGTAATGGGAAGGGTTTATTTTCCCCCGACTTATACTCCAGGAGTTTCTTCTTGACCCTAATTGATATTTGGAAGTCAAAAAAGGTCCCCAACTTTTGAAGTCGAGTCTCATTCAAGAGTCCAAATACAAATAGTAGCACTCCTGACAGGTTGGGGTTCTTTAATCTTGTTTCCCTAGAAACCAATTTCTGCATACTGTATTTAGAGACACGTTTATCTTCTTTCTCAAGTTCTTCAACAAATATGAAGGCAGCCATGAGCTGCTGGACACTGAGGTGGTAGAAGCTGAAGCAGTTGCTCTCCTTCTGATCAATGACATTCCTGCAATCAAGAAGATGCATTATATTCGGGTTCACGTCTAATCTCAACAAGTCTTCTTCACAGATCACAGGCAGCTGTTCCAACAGAGTATCAGCAGCCAGGATACACACTTTCCTGAACGTGCTCGGGACTTGCGTTTTCAAACAGCTTTGGTAGGTTTCTGGTGAGAGGACACTGAAGAGGTAGTTCAGGAACATAGAGGTATGGGTCTGGCACCTCAGAGCAAGGTCTTCCCTCTTCCTCATCCCTTGGTCCAGACAGACGCAGAATATTGAACATGCAGAAGGAAGTGAGGCCATGGGGAAGAGAGCCGCATTGCCTCTCAGTGCATTTAAAGCTCTTAGTGCCATTACATCATCGCTCTCCACCGTGTCTTCACCGCCCTGCTCAGCAGTGGTTGCAACAGAGGCCATGGCCTGCTGGGCGGTGTCATCACCAGGCTCCCAAATGCCACATACCCTGTTGATACACTTCAAATCTTTAAAGAACATTTGAAAGTATTCCTGCCTCTCCCATTCCGAGAAGCCCCGAATGTCTACAAGGAAGGGCTGATCTATCATAAGGTGGATTTGCCGTAACGCCTGTGTTCGCGTGGTCACCAGCAGTGTGGCATGGGGGGCCATCTTCCTCTGCAGCAAACTGCTCAGCAGGACAACCGCAGGCTTCTCTGTGTTCCAGTCCCCCACAGATGTCATGCATCAGCACTTCGGCTGGGAATTTCAGCTCATCAAAACCATCCACCACAAACAAGAAGTTTTCTCCCATGGCTAGGGACTTCATCACATACTTTCTCCACGAGGGTTTTTCCATGGTGAGGAGCTGTACAAAAGTGCAAGGTCTCGTTTCATTAATCACCCCGCAGTTGTATCACCAAATCTGTAGTAGACAAAAATGAAACCCATTCAGTTTAGAGTTTGCACTCCCAGAAGATTGAAACTGAACAGTGACGTAAGTTGTATATGCATCTATAAGCAGCTGTAATGATTCAACAGTTACTTAGCCCTTGGAATCTAGCCTATTGGTTGAATTAATAGCTCTTTCCACAGAGATAGTGAAATCTGTTTCTGCTCCTTGAACGTCTTCTTGACTATAGAGTGCACCCTGAAGAATGATAAATGTTCAGTGATAGAGCTCCAGGAGATGCTCAGTGGTCTAGTAAGGCAGGACAGGCTCTGTCTTTTTTGGTTACTCTTGAGTTTTCATAATCTTGCTGTCATATTTTAAGTTATCAGAGGGCTGGCTATCACCTGAAGGTTTAAAAATTAACTAAAAACACTCTGGTTTTGGAAGCAGTGTTGTGTTGTGTATGGGAGCCTGAGAACCAGAGCAGTTCTAACCCACTGGGTCTTTTGTAGTTTTCTCTGTTCCACCCTTGCTTTTAAGAAAATGTATTAGAATGTAAGAGAAATATAATAGCTACTGTGAAATATTCTTAGATTATTTCATGGTGTTTATAATTTCCTTTTCAGACTTACGGATTTAATGAGCTAGTTTATTGTTTTCCTTTTTTTATATTGCCCAGATTCCATAAGAATAGATCTTATCATATTAATTTTGTTCTGTATTTGTTTTACATTTAAGAATGAATCTATTTCCAGTTTACTGATTGTGAATAATTTAAAGTATTTTAGGTACAGCTTGTAATTGCCTGGTTCTTTGTAAGAATGGTTAACTAAGGAGGAATAGATGGAGATAAACATTTTCTAATGCATTATAGCTTGTTTTTGTTTTTTTCTCATTCTTTTTAATAATGTGTAGAACTGTCCTTTTGGATGCAATGGGAACATGTCCAAAGGTCTTTCCTTTTGCATGATTCGAGGTCTTAGAGATAAATGATTCCATTGATGGTCTATAGAATGTTTATAGCCTTTCTTTTCACTGGAAACATTGAGAACTTTGCAAACAGTGGGCTGTTTATGTTTACTTTAAAAAACTCACTTTCCTTTAATCCTCTATTAAAAAGTAAAGAATTTTTTAAAAGGTAAACTTGTTTATTGATTCAATTTTATGAGGGGATGGTATTGGGTAGTGGTTAGCACATGAAGGTCAGAGAATGATGTGCAGTAGTCAATTTTTGTTTTCTATGATGTGGGTCGCAGAGATTGCATTTGGGCCATTAAGCTTGGAGGCAAGTGCTACTCAGTGCTTTGAATGACAAATAAGGAGCTCAGTTAGGAAACCCTGTGTAAACCTGTGCATTAATAATTAAGTGTTACTGTACTCTCTTTAATATTCTGGTCTTTTCTCCCCTTAGGGTTTCACAGACAGCCCTCATTACAGTGACCACTTGAATGACAGTCGATTAGGAGCCCATGAAGGCTTGTCCCCAACACCTTTCATGAATTCAAACCTGATAGGTAAGTTTTTGACTGTGTTAAGTGTCTATGTTCAGAGACCCTATTACCATGTCCTATATAAATACATAAAGGAAAGCTCCCTCGTTGCTAGAGGAATACAAGTTTTCCTTGTTTATTCCAGCTCAGGGAACTCACATCTGGAAATCAGGTCTTTCCTTTGAGCACTGCTAAGAATATATAAAGGGAAGTCGCTGTGTTCTGTTAGTTGAGGCCATGTTTCTGTGATGTCATATATTGCAGTTTTCTGGGCCAGAGAAGCATTCTTTCAAGGGAACTTGTGGTTTACCATTTGTCTTATTAGGTATATTTAGGGAGTAATTAAAAATTATGACAGAACAGTGACTTTGACAGATTTAACTTACATTGGATTATTTTTCTTTGGATACTATTTGATAAAAACTTTATTTCATTTATATAGGGTCTGTTTAAGCACTTGGGTTCTTATTAAGTTTGTCTGCAAGTGAAGTGAAATTTGAAGGATGTGACTTCTCACCTACACCTGATCTTTATGTTTTATCACCCCTCTTGTTGTTGATCATTCTCTCTGTCTCTCCCTGTCCCATGCAGAACACTCTCCCTTTTATGTGTTTTTCTTAAGTGATAATTTGAAGTTGTTCAGTCTGAAATAAGCCCGGCAATCGTGTTTTATGCCTGCCAAACCTCCTGGTTTGGATACCACTCCTTTTTAAAAAGGCAGTATTTAGTCTTCTTACAAAATCTGTTTGAAAAGAATCTATGCCTTGTAACATCATATTTTTTGTTCTTGTTTATGCTATAGCTGAACACTTTCTAAAGGCTTTATGTAATCGCTTGTATTAACTGTCATTGGCATCAGATAAATATACACGGTTTGTGTGATTGACATTGATTTCACCACTCTACCTCTAAAGGGTTAGTTACATTGTGATCTTAGAATTGACCTTTTGAGTCACAACCATGTTGATCTAAGTAGATTACTCCAGTTACATTGTGATCTTAGAATTGACCTTTTGAGTCACAGCCATGTTAATCTAAGTAGATTACCCCATCCAAAGTCCTGGTGGTCTACAGATGCTTTGTAAGGGATCTTGCTGTGTGCAGTCTTTGTTTTCTCTTCTTCTCTAGTTTTGAGGAGTGAGAGTCTGATATTCTAGTGTGGATTTTGCCTATGGCAACTGACAATCTAAAGCCAGAATCATTGAGTGTGACACAAGACCCGTATAAGCAGTAAAACGTGTGCTGAAAACCACTGGCTTTCAACATATGTGCAAATAAAGGTTATGCTGGTAAGTGGGTTACTCCAGGTAAAACCCATAACTACATTTAAAATAAAACAATAATTTCATCGACGAAAATTTCTACATTCTAGTTTTAATTTTCTGTTGAGTCTTCCATCAAGGTAAAATGTCATTCAGTTTAGAAATTGCTTTTGTATTTTAACTTTTCCCTCAAGCAGAATTTATTTATATTGTGTGTAACAGGGCAAATGAAAGTTGACGTTAACTGAGGCTGTCACTCTGAACTATAAGAATTCATGACCCCTCTAGAATGTATATCCTTACCTTCAGCCTTGCTCATGGAGATAATGTGCATACAGTGGAATTGCATCTTTAGCGCAGTTTTGGGCCAAGGTAAATGTTAAAATTATGGGAACTAAATTAAGTCTCTAGGAGATATGTATTCCAGTCATTTCTGAGCAGCTGTTAACTAAAAATATTCCTATAATTCAGTTTGAGGTTCTATTTCCTCATTTGGGGCCTTTACAAACATATATTTATTGGGTTTTTTTTTTTTTTTTTTCAGTTTTTGGAGAATTATTGGAATACCTTTAAAGGTTATCCCTACTCTGTAAAATCTACATCTAAAGTAAATTTATAAGTAAGATTTATGAGCATACTGTTTTCTTCACTGTTTATGGGGAAAAAAAAATCTCATTCATCTGAACTTCCAAGTGTAGTGAGTCCAGTACAATTGTACAGATCATGTGTCGTCCACTATTTTAACTGCTTAATTTTAAAGTATTCTTTTACATTTAAAGGGGAAGGGGAGAAATACTCGTTCGGTCATTAATTAGGTAGATAATATTCACAGTTAAAGGGGAAGGGGAGAAATAATCCTGCAGTCATTAATTAGGTAGGTATATTCAAAAAGGATCTGCCAGCCATTGGCTGTGTCTGATTTACCCCTCTTTACTTTTTTTTCAGTGAAATGATTGGATGAGTACCTCTGTATGCCTCCTCAAATGAGTGATGTGCATGGCAGTAACTTGCTTTTGGATATGAGTGTTTCTTCAATTAGGCAGTTGCATCGAGCAGCAGGCAATTCAGCAAGATGTGAGATGCAGTAATTGAACTGTTAAGACACCCAAATATATGGGATGATCATATTAGATGAAGTTACAAGAGTCTCTTTTCTAGAGGTTTAACAGTATAGGGAGTTTCAGGTGGTAAACACTCTGTTAGAGCTCTCTGCTCGTGTGTATGTGGTGCTGTCAGAAACATTGAATGATTGATACCTGATTGCTGCAACAGATACCTTTGAAATGAATGGTGTATGCTCAGAAACAGTTAAAGGGAACAGAGAAGCAGTAACATTTTATCATTGCTGCCAACATATAAAAATAGCATTAAGCAGGAGAGGAGTCATTCATCTAGGGAATGTTGTTCTTTTGAGTGTTATGTTCATCTATAAGTACATTTACCTGAAGAAAGAATGAATTATAAAGCCACTGTTTTTCATGATGGAACTTCCAAAACCTTCCATGATTACATTGTAAAAATCAGAGGTTTTGTCTAACAAGCATTGATAATGGATAATTTGCCTCAGAAAACAGATTTCTATATTCATTTAGATATTTTAAGGTTTTTTTATGTAGGAAATAAAGCTATTATGCTATGTCAGTTATTGTTTCAGAATTATCCTGTTGATTTGTCGGTATGCAATAGTAGAGGGCTTTTCTTATGTTTCAAGAGAAATTAATATACCCTTTTGTTCAACTGTGAATAGAGCCTTGCCCAAGCCATGAGTTACAGTGGTGTCATCGTACAGTTTTGGATATCATAGTCTGCAGAGCTTTGACTCATTCTTTCACTCTTGATTCCCTCATTAATTTTCATACTTTATTTCATACTTTCATGGTTTCCAGAGAGCTGAGCAGTAAAAGAGCACTTGCTTCCCTGCAGAGGACCTGAGTTTTGTACCCAGCATCCACATCGCAGCTCTAGGGGCTCTAACACAGCTTCATCTGGCCTCTGAACACTCATATACTTTGTGCACATATATGCAACCAAAACATTCATACACATAATGAAAAAAAAAAACACTTTAAAAACCCAATCTTGAAAAACAAAAAGAGAAAAAAAATGGTTTTCTTTTAGTGATTGGTACTATTTTGGGTGATGGTAGGACCGATGAACTAAACTGAGAAGTGGATTATTTTATGCCTGCCACAGATGACGTGGAAAGAACATCTCCATGCTTCCTTACACTTCGCTTATTTAAGAGAACATGTGCATATATGTCATAAACAGG